CGACTGGACTCATGGATCCGCTCCTGAGCGCGCTCGTCGAGAGCCCGCTGGAGGTTATCCAGTCGAGTGCACTCAGCCAGATTAGCTAAGAGCACCTCCTCCAAGGCTCGAGCCTGGGGGTTTCTCCAACGATGGGCGTGTGGAGTGCATCCATGTTGCGGCGACGAAGTTCTTCCCTCTGCTAAGAAGAGAGGGGCTCGGGTCGGTATCCCTCGTGGACGTGCGATGGATCACCGCCTCCGTCTCTGCCGCCCTCGCGGCGGAAACCAGGTGGGCTATGAGGCCCATCGACCATCAAGACTTCGGCCGCAGGATCGCTGCTATCGCACTCGGATGCGGTCTCCGCGGAGCCAGTCGACAGATCGAACAGGCCGTGGAGAGTCTCGTCGGGCTCGATTGCCGTGACTTGGTGGGTGGTCGACTGCCGAGCCACCGCGTGTTTCACCCACCGCTGAAGCCGCGATCGACCGGACCGCTTGCGGCGGCGGACATCGGGGAGGGAAAACACCATTGGAGTCGACTGATATTGAGTCGACGGCTACCGGAGAAGAACGCCGCGAACGCACGCGCGAAAGTGCGTCGCCCCTCGGACGGGGAGCGCCTCAGTGTCCAGGGGAGCTTCTTGGAGCCATGCGGAGTCGTCGGCGATGAAAACGAGCGCGCCGAGACGGATCTCGCGGCCCTCAGCCAATCCGCCGGCGGAAACCATGATGATGGTGATCGGAAAAACTTGCAACTTCACCAACAAGTCGCTAAGACACCTGCCCCACGGTGGGTGCCAACTGTCGTGGTTCTAAGGCTGACAATAGAAAGGGGGTAGGTATGGAGAGGCAAGATCTTAGCTATGGCGAAGATGGACACACGAGATTTACGAGTCCAGGCCCTTCTCGGAGGAAGTAATAGCCCTACGTCTCGGTGCACGGAGACGGTCGACTGAATTATGTGTGTTGAATTACAGGGGATGCGAACCCTTGTGCCAGAGGAAGGGGGTGGCTTATATAGAGTGCGCCAGGACCCCAGCCTGCCTCCATTACAAGGGAACTAATGTACATAAAGTAAGGGGCGTTACTGGTAACACCAGCATTAAGTATTCTTAATGCTCATGAAGACTAAGGAGTAAATATCCGGCCGTTGTACGTCCTACCGACTCCTGGTATTCGACGTAGTCGAGTGGTTCCCATATGGTCGAGTGAAGGTAGAGAATTCTGGTCGAGTGATTGCATCGTCGAGTGGATTCTTGGTCTTCTCATCTTCTGGGGTAGTGACCTTTGGTAGGGTGTGTAGAACAGGCCTATGACCCTATCCCAGGTATGTATCCTCATCACCTGGTTTTGTCCTTCGTGGTTCTTCTCGAGTCGGAGCTATGCTGCCTTTGTTTTGGCAATGATCTTCCTACAACTTCATTTGGCATCTACAGTGTGAGTTGAGTCGACAATCGCCTACGACGAAGTCGAAGTCGTTTGCTCAGGATTTAGGGATGACGATGACGTCTCTAGGGGAGGAGTGATGATAGTAACGCCTGTGTGTTGTCTCGGCGAGGCCCACTTTGGAGTGATGTGCGTGAGTTTTTCTTACGTGTGCAGCTTACCTGTTGTGATGGTTTTGTCCGGTTTTCTATAATTAATTGGGCAATTTGGTTTTCCTTATATAATTAACCAAGCAGCTCTTTTTCTTCTTGATGGACGCAGGAATCATGTCATTTCGAAATGAAAAAAAGAGCTCCGTGCTGTAAAAAAGAACAGAAACAAAAATGGAGTTCCCACTGCCGATGAGCACGTTCAAATCCAGTCGACGAAGCTTGGCAGCCCAGCCGCACTGTCGACTGTCGGACACTCGCGCACCAACTGATGAGCAAAGCCGGGGCAGTTCCTAGGAGGGTGCTGTTCAGATCCGGGGAGGCGGGGGTTTGCTTCTGATTATCCGCTGTTCAGACCCTCTCGCTGTCTTCAATCCCGAGTCACCCAATTTTGAGGATGCTTCTAGATGTGCGATCGTTGGGCGCGGACCGTGAGAAAGACCAGTGGCCGACGAGGCGCTCGCGCCCTCCACCAACGGTGTGCTTGCCGGCATGTCCAACGGCGAGCGGCACCCCTGGATCGGCATGAACGCCCACCACCTGTTCGACCAAAGTTTCAGAGCAGCCACCGCCACCTTTGTACATCCAGGTAAGTGGAAATAAGGTTATGCTGTATGTACACACTTGGAAAGCCATCAAAGCCACGTTGGGTTCAATCCACCTCGTCAACACTGCCATGCCAAATGGCCTTAGCCCTTAGGGTGTGATTCAACCTGGTTTTGGAATATTAGGAGGTTAACTAACCGAACCCTACTACCTTAGGCCTTGTTCGGTTCAGGAGTGTTTAATCCTCTGGTGGATTTAATCCTCTAGAGGATTGGGTGATCCCCCACCCTGCACCAAATCCCCTCGGGGAACACATACATCTCCACCGTGCAATCCATGTCAATTGTAATGCATTCGGTTAATCCCTTGCTGCAGATATATATA